GCGCCATGAAGCTGGCGCACGGGGCCTTGCGCCTCGACAGCGCCCAGCGCCCCCGGGTGCGCGCTGGGTGCCCCCCTGGGGCCCTCCCAGGCCTGGGGGGCGGTGCCCTGGGGTGGGGGTATTCCCAGGGTAACGGGGTGCGGGGCCGGGGCGCTTTGTAGTGGGGGGGATGGTCTCCATGCCCAGGGTTTGCCCCCCCCGGCACCTGGGTCGCGACCCCCCGTGCAGGCAGGACGGGGCCCCCACCCTGGGAGCCGCGAGCCGGGCTCGGCTCCTGACCCGCGTCCCTGCGCAGGAGGCCTACGTGGAGTACCTGAAGAGCATCCGCTACATCTCCCAGGCCCTGCTGGAGGAGGCAGCGGCCGCCCCTGGTACGCCCCCGTCTGTCCCAGCCCCTGGGTCTGCTCCCGCCCGGGTTTCATCCGTCTGTCTCCCGTCTTGCTCCTTCCAGCCTCTGCGGGGCTCCCCTTCGGAGGTGGCGCAGAGCCGGGCCCTGTGCCCAGGCAGGGGCAGGGACTGTTGCCCTGAGGGAGGCAGCCCCACAGCTATCCCCCCCACACTCCGGTCCTGGCGCGGCTCCCTGGGGCACAGACTGCCCTGCCCCTCTCCTGTGCCAGATGGGGCCGAGGGGGTGACGCCCGACACGGCCAAGATGCTGAAGCTCGCGGAGCAGTGCCTGGAGAGAGCTAAGTCCAGCGTGGCTGAGCTCGGTGAGCGCTGGGCTCGGAGCTGTTGTAGGAGGCATGGGGCTGGGGCTGGGACCCGGGGCCTTTAGCCCTTCTCAATCCCCTTGCTTTCCCCGCCCGCAGGGAAGACCCAGGTGAAGCCAGCAGCCCCCGAGAAGGGCCCAGGCCCCGCTCCCGTCTCCCGGCACCGCAGGGTCTTCTCGGACGAGGGAGGGAAGCTGTCGCCCTTCCTGCCTCCAGAGATCTTCCAGAAGTTGCAGGTCGCTGAGGCGCAGGGCTCCAAGAAGTGAGTGGGGCCTGGCTGGGGGTGGGGCAGGGGGCAGTGGGATGCATGGGCTGGGTGAGGATCCTCGCCCCATGCGCATGCTCCGTGCCAGCCCTTCCTGCCCAGGCGGTTGCAGGGGGTGGAGAGGGGCCTGTATCGGCCCATTCCAGCTCCTCGCAGCTTGCCCGTGCTCCCCCTCAGCGGCTCCTGGTCTTTGCAGGGAGCTCACACCACTGGAGGAGGCATCACTGCAGAACCAGAAGCTGAAGGCCACGTACGAGGCACGCCTGGCCCGGCTCAACCCCAGCCAGGCCCTGCAGAAGACCTCTCTGGCAAGTGCAGCTGGGGTGGCAAGGGGTGGAGAGTGGGGGGTTGCACTCAGGCAGAGAAGGGGCTGTGCCATCTGGCAGGGCCCAGCCCCCTCCCTTAGGGCTCCCAGGTGACGGACTGCTGGACCGCAGCCCCAGGAGTGCAGGCTTGACCCACTGGTTCCCCAGCTGGCCGGGTGGCTCCGGGTTGTCGGACAGACAGGGCTCCCTGGAGCAGGACTGGGGGGAGGGTGGGAACTGAGAGTAGGCAAGAGCAGAGCCCCCTGTGTGGCCCACGGCTGAGGGGCTAGTAGCAGCTGCTGCTTCATGGGCTGGATGAACCTGGGGCACAGCCAGCCGGGCCCTGGGGTGACCACGCGTGCTCACAGCCGAGGCGTAGTCAAGCCCACAGGATGGGCCTGGGGCCTGTCCAGCCACCTGCCAGCCTTGGTCTGGGGTGCAGAAGCGTGGAGTGGGGTGTCCTTAGCCACTACCTGAAATGCCCTGCCATTTCCTGGCATGTGGAAGGGAGCAGGGTCCTGGCTGGGTGCTCCTGGCACAGGGGAGCAGGTGAGAGTTAGGGCTTGCCCACAACACCTGTGTGTGCTTTGCAGACGCTGTCCCTCCAGCGGCAGATGATGGAGAACCTGGTGATCGCTAAGGCACGGGAGGAGACCGTATCCTTCCCAAGGCACCCCTGTGGCGCCCAGGGGTATCTGTGCCTTCCCCCTCAGGCCAGGGCTGGGTGAGGGTGGGGCTGGGGTGAGGCTCAAGGAGCAGCGGTTGTTGAGCCAGACCAGCGCATGTGGGGCTCTGAGACCAGGTAACACGTGCTGGGAAACCCAGCCTGCCCCCCCTCTGCAAACACCCCTCCCAGATTCCAGATTGCACCTAGGCCAGGTCAGAAAACCCTCCCTGCTCAGCTGAACTCTGGCCCTGCCTGGGAGGGGACTGGGGCTAGGGCAAATACAGCCTTGCCCCCGGGGTTGCCCACACCCCACCTGTGCTGGCTCTCAGGGCCAGGCCAGCCTATGGCAGGCATGGGGGCTGCGCTCTGTTTACATTTTCTGTTTAACCCTGGCCAGAAGAACGTGAGGCCGCAGAGGGCCGTGCCTGGGCCTTAACTCTGCTGTATTCCAGCTCCAGCGCAAGATGGAGGAGCGCCGGCTGCGCCTCCAGGAGGCAGCCAACAGGTAAGGAGGGCGGGGGCCACGCTGCAGCAGAGGAAGGGGAGTATTCCCTTACTCAGCGCTCTGGGCCTTGGGCACCCGGCTGGGGTCCATTATGCCCCATCTGAGGCTGGGGGGCCGTGGAGGTGCTGCCTTCTGAGCCCTTCCCGAGCCCAGAGAGTGTCTGCAGCCTTGTCTTCGAGCCTTCTGCCCAGGTTTCAACTGCCATGCCCTCTGCTTGGGGAGGTCGTTGCAATGCACTGAGTAGGGTGGATGCCCTGTCTCTTCTGTGCCTGGGTCCATGGTGGCAGCCAGGATGCAGCCACCTGCTCCAGGCCTCACCCTGATGCATGCCATGTCCCTGCAGGCGGTTCTCCAGCAGCGTGGCCCTAACCCCTGAGGAACAGGAGCAGCGGGAGCTCTATGCCGCCATCCTGGAGTACGAGCAAGACCATGTACGTCCCTGCACCCTGCCTAGTGCTGCTGGGCTCCCAAACCAGCAGCAGCCCGTGCCTCTGTGTCCTCTGCTCCCAGGCACCCAGAAAGGGCTGAGGGGTGTGCACGGGCTGGCCATGCTCCCCAAAGCTGGAGCTCAGCTGGCTGGGGCTGGGGCATCATTGAAGACTGGGTCTGCCCAGCTGCCTGCGTGTGTTGTGGGACAAGTGTAGTCCCCCAGGGTCCCCTACCTGGGTGTGGTGTCTCCAGGGGCGGGGGGAGCTGTAGTCCTGCCTGGCACAGGTGGTGCCTGCCTCCCTGATCTCTCACATGCTCTTCCTCCCCAAGGAGTGGCCCCGGCTCTGGAAGACCAAGCTGAGGAGGAACCCGGCAGACCTCACCCTGGTGTCCGGCCTCTTCTCCTGCCTCCTCAGGTAGGCTCCAGCTCTAGGGACTGCTGGAGGCACCTTCTCTGAGCCCAGCCCTGGCACAAGGGGGATTTGGGTGGCCTCACAGCTGGCCAGGTGTTTGCTGGAGTCTCTCCCCAGCAGAGATGCTCCTGGGGTCTGTGGGAAAAGCTGCTCCAGCTGCAAGGGTGGCCTTGTGGGGCATGACCTGGCTCCCCTCAGCAGCCACCTGGAAACTACAGTGTCCCCAGCATGAGCTCGTGGGACAGCAGGACACATCCCAGTCCCGGGCACGGCAAGCAGTCTTTTTCCTTCGCTCCTAGCTGTCCCGACCATCCCATCTGCCAGCTGCTGCGGAAACTGCAGTGTGCAGTCTACAGCCGTCTCTACCCTGTGGTTAGCCGGGGCATGGGCGACCCCATGACCTGCCTGTCACTAGATGCTGAGGGGCTGTCAGAGCCGGGGGGCCGGCGGCTCCGGGCCTCGCAGAGCCTGCACTGCATGTTCTCCGTGCACGAGACCAACCAGCTCAACCTGCGCCACAGCCTCTCCAGCGCCCCCCTCATCGAGGACCCGCCCACCCCTGCCTCTAGCCCCTGCCCGCCCCAGCGGGACAGCTCCTTTGAGGACCTGGAGCGGTTCCTGATGGGGCCTGAGGGTGCAGCCCCAGCTGAGAAGAAGGTGGCATCTCTCCCAGAGCAGCTGAAAGGCATCGTGAAGGACATCCACAATGCCATGGGTGAGGGGCTAGAGCCATGGGACAGTCTGAAGGAGCCTGGGTATTGGCATCACATGCCACTGGGTGCTTTCTAAGCAGGCTGGAACAGGGCTGGGCACTCCCAGGGCATTGCCATGGCTCAAAGCAGAGGCTACATTCCTCCCCCAATGCCCCCAGCTGCCTTCTCAGACCCAGCAGGCCCTGCCCCATAGCTGGGCTTTGAGCTGCATCACTGCTACTGGTGTGGGCCTCTGAAACCCATTGCCTCTGGTCAGAGGTGCAGTAGTCCAGTGGGGTGGTACACGGGCTGCTGGCATAGGACTGTGGCTCCAAGTCTCGGCTGTGTGGCCGCTAGAGGGCAGCGTTGGCCCCTGGAGCTGTCAGCTCTGCTCCACGGGCCTGGAGCCAGGCTGCTGCATGGAGCTGCATGGCACCAGCTGCCGGGGCAAAGGCCTCCAAGCCCCACAGCTGCCTGCTCCCTGCTGCAGCCCCTGTCCCAGCTCGCAGAGCCCAGGTGTTGCAGGAGCAGCCTGGGCAGAGCTGGTGGCAGCTAGTGCTTCCAGAGCTCTGCCAGGCACTGCACAAAGCTCTTGGCAGCCTGGGCCAGGCAGAGGCTGCGTGGCGAGATGCAGGGAGGTGAGGGTTTGGGGCAGTGCTGATGAGGTTAGATGGGAGGTGCTGTCTCCTGGGAGCCATGTGCAGGATGGAAGGATCCTGGGAGAGAGACCAGGGGGCTGGTGATGTCTGCAGGGACAAGGAGATGCTGGCAGGGGGATTGAGAGCCCTGCTTGAGTCCTTACAGGAGGGCTCCCTAGCCCTGGGGAGAGGCCGGAGGGCCGGGCTGTTAGGCCTGGAGCTGGGGGGTGGGGAAGGGGTTGGTGAGAGAAGAGGTGACCATGGGTGAGGTTACCCTGGACAGGGGCAGGCCGGAGCCTGGAAGAGCCAGCCCCTTGGGTTTGGTTCCCTTTGCCCCAGGTAGAAGCCCCGGGGGCACCACTCGTGAAAGGCCACAAGCCAGCTATAGCAACTGAGCGTGCTCTCTGCCTGCCCCCAGACCAGCTCCTGTCCCTGGCCCTGCTGGCCTTCGAGAGCCTCAACGCCGCCCCCGCCAAGGACCAGTGCCTGGCCTGCATTGAGGAAGCCTTCTTCCCCCCGCTCTGGGCCCCACTGCTGGCTTTGTACAGGTACCACGCGCCTGGGCAGGGGCTCGAGACCCCACACCTGGCCCCCTCCCAGTGCCAAGTTGGCGCCTGCTGCTCCATGTGCCCAGGGCATGCAGGAGCTGCACAGCCGGGCCTGTGTGGTTCCAGCATTGCCCAGCCTGCCCCTGCCCCTGCCCCTGCCCCATGTCCAAGATGTGCCATGACTAGGCCTGCTCGGGGAGTGCTGCGCTGTGTTGCGTTGTTCTCCACCAGCCCCCACTCCCTCCCTGCAGAGCCGTGTACAAGGCCCAGGAAGCTGCCCTTTCATGGGGCATGGAGCGCCACCACAACACACCACCTGCGGACATGGGGGTCCCCTCCAAGCTGCTGCCCTGGGACAGTGCAATGCAGGTGCCGGGCTCCTACCCCTACAGCGCTGCCGTGCAGGAGCTGCGGCTCATTGCCCTCGAGAGCTGCCCGCAGAGGAAGCTGGACTGCATTGGTGAGGCATGTGGGGGGGCTCTGGGGCAGGAGCCAGAGCCATCAGGCTATGGCACCCCCTTCTCACGTGGCTTTTGGGCAGGGGGGCTGCGTGGGGCAGGGGAGCCATGCTGTGCCCATGCTGTCAGCAAAGCTAGGCAATGCCCCCTTGAGCTGTGATCTCCCCTGGGCCATCTGAGCATCCCTGCTGCGTGCTGCAACACCCCCTTCTGCCCTAGCCCTGTCCTCCCACAGGCAGTGGGAGGAAGGTTTGCTTGGTGTAAGGCTGGGGTTGGCCCCAGTGCCACCTGCCAGGGGAGGCTGCAGGGCCTGGGTGTGGGCTGCTGTCCCTGATGCTGGGGCTTGGTGCCTTGCTTGCAGTGCGAGCTCTGCGCATGATCTGCGAGTGTGCTGAGGAATACTGCGGGGCACGGGAGAGCCAGCCCCCCGCGGCTGCTATGTGAGTATGGCAGGGATGCAGCACAGTCCCTGTTCCCCTGTCAGCCCTGGACTCTTGAGGCTGGAAGGATGCAGTGTGGGAGATGGGGGAGGGCCAGGCTCCACAGCTGGGTGCTTTGAGGGTGCTGGTCCCCTTGCTGCCATGATGAAGTCTCCTGCAGCCCATCTCTGAGCCGTGTGGGGCAGCTCAGTACGAAGCTGTCAGGCCCACTGGCTAGCATCCACCACCTCTCCATTGCTGCAAGGCACCTAGCCCATTTTGCATTGCTGACACCAGGCTTGATGGATCACTCCTGACAATGCACCATGCCACGGGGGTCCTCCCTGCCATGCTGCCGACACGGGCCCCCCGCCCAGTCAGCCAAGCTGTCGGCTGGCAATTTAGCGAGCTCGGAAGCTGTCACAGGGACTTAGGCAGCAAGCAGGAGATGGTGGGACCGCGAGCAGGGCCCTGCGCCCTGGTGAGACAGCAGTCCTGCGGCTGGACTGTCAAAGCAATGAGCAGGGAACTAGGGAGACAGCCGAGCCGGGACGGGGAGGCGGCAGGCGGCTGCTACTCCCAGCTGGGACTCGATTGTCCAAGCTCTACAGACCTGAAGGGCGCGAGAGCAGGCGCCGTGACCCCCACACTCCCAGCAAAGCCTCGGCCTGTGGGAGCAGTGCTGTAGCACTGTGTGGCGGGGAGAACCAGGCTGTCCCAGGGGTGCTCACAGCCTTTGGTCTCTGCATCTCTCTTGGCTTCTGATCCAGCAGCTCCTGGGAGTCTAGTGTCCCCCCTGTGCGTGTGGGCACAGCAGCTCATCTCAACATCCCCAGCTGCCTGTGCCCTCCAAGCGCTTTGCAGTCCAGCCTGGCCGCTCACCTAGGGAAACTGAGGCACAGAGGGGCAGTGCTGTCAGGCAGGGAAGAACCAGTTGGGGATGAGGAGGGGTCTGCCCTGCAGGGAGCAGCCTGACGCTGCTCTGTGCCCCCGCAGTGGTGCTGACGACCTGCTGCCCATCCTATCCTACGTGGCCGTGCGGAGCAGCCTGCCCCAGCTGGTGTCGGAGTGCGCTGCGCTGGAGGAGTTCATCCATGAAGGGTAGGATGGGGCAGGTCCACCCTCTGGGGACCCCAGGGACGAGGGCCAGGCCTACCTGTGACTCCGCGCCAGCCACCCCATGCATGCTTCCAGCAGGCTGCTGTGCCATGAGGGCAGGGGCAGAGCTGGGGGCTTAGCTTCATGCTGTTGCCCTGCTGCATGGCCCTGGTCACGTCTCCTGACACCCCAGCCCAGGCAAGCTGGAGGCTGGGGTACAATGAAGAGCTGGGTGAGTTCCAGAGCCAACAGTATTGGGAGGGGGCACCCCAGCCAAGCTTCCAGCTGGGAGGGGACCTTCTGGGGCCCCAGAGTCCCCCTGCACTGCCCCCTCCCCTAGAGATCCCTGCAACAGTGACAAGGGGGCCAGATCCCTTTGAGCGATGCTGGTGCCACGTGTTGGGGGTGGGGGGCGTGTCCTATATCCAGAACCACCCACTGCCCCTCGCTGCAGGCTGCATGGCGCTGTCAGCTCAGCTAACGAGCCCTGATGCTAATGAGCCACAGCACCGCAGCTGAGCCCTAATCGGAGGGGACAGGCTGCGGGGAGAGTAGGGGGGCAGACCAGACCCCGCAGAGGAGCAGGGGGAAGGGCTGGCCTGGCCCCGCTCAGCCTACTGGGCTCTGCAGCTCCTGCCCTTCCCTGAGACCCTGCAGCTCAGCCCCCCCCACCCCCACCTGCAGCCCCACGGGCTGGGGCAGAAGCCAGTAACACAGGGTTACGGCCATGGACGCCGCAGCCTGGCCCCTTGCAAGGGCCAGTGTCAGCGCCAGCTCTATACTTGGTGGCTGCTGCTGGGGAAGCTTTGCCCCCCCCCAGCCCCAGCC